AAGAGGACCGACCCTTCCTGCAGCATTTAACTGGGGGGCTCCTTCACCCCCAAGCTGATTTGCCCCAGTTTTAGGTTTTCCTGCTCTAACACGGCTTTTTGCTGGCCGCTGCCAATAAACGCTTTGGTCCCACCACCCTCGCAGCACTCTGGGGGAGACAGGCAGTGTCGGCGGCATAGATTTGTCTGGAAGGTGGGAGGAGAGGGGATACACTGGGCTTAACCACGCTGCGCTCAGCCGAGCTTTGCTCAGGAATCCGCCTAAAATTCCTCACAAGCCGCTCCTCGGAGGTTCAACCGCCTCAATGTAGTCATGGACTGGTGGATATAAAACACTCCAGGAAAGTTCATTTCCTCTTTCGGTCTGCAAACAGAAATGATGCAAGCGGACAAGATCTACCAGTTCTGGGGCCCCGGGAGGAGGGTGTTCAGATCACGGAGCCGCAGGTCATGCGGTGGCCGCGGCAGCAGTCGGGTTTGACAACTTGTCGTGTGAAAGGTCTGCACGTCCAGAACATTTGGGAGAATTTATCTGAACACATTCAAGTAATCAATGTGTATTGAACGTGAGCTTCCATCAAACCGTACTGGAGATAATTAAGCGTTAGGATTTCAGGATGACTCCCTGTAGCTTTGGGCAAAGCAGTTTTTTCCCCGTGAGCTGTTTCACGGAGGAGAGATTGTATCACCTGCGTGCCAGGATTTATGAAAGAGTTGGATCAAACCTACACATCCCATAGGATTAAAACAAACCACAGTTATGTCTGGGCAGCAGACAACCTCTTTGGAAAGAGTAAAGCCTTTCCCTTCACACAGTATTTGCGCAATGGCCCCTAAAAAAAGCTATTGCTGCAATAAAAACAACAAATAGCAGAGCCGGGAAGAGCAAGTCGTGGGACTGGGGCACAGTGGGACCGGTGAAGCTTTTTACCCTGTTCTGCGCTGCCAGCTCCGTTCCCCCGGTGGGGTCTGTCACACAAATGCCACCGCTGATGTGGCCGGCACCTTTAGTCTGCGGTGCCTGGGAAGAGGGGGCCGCGGCAGGGGTGGGACCCTCATGCCCCACACTCGCTCCGGGATAGGGGCAGCTCGCTCTGTCGGTGTGGGGTCGGTCACCCAAGACCGGGACACGGTGCCAGGACCGGGATGCGGTGCGGAGCCGGTTTTCCGGGACGCATCCTGGCCGGAGATGCCCAGCTCTCAGGGGTCATCTCAGCAGAAACCCACCGAGGATGGCGGCATTTCCCCGGTGAGCTCTCCGTGAAAATACACGCCCTAGAAATGTCACCTTGAACTGGATACGAAGGTAAAACTTTACCACGTTCATCGTCTTATGCGGTTTTATCCAGCGAGGAACACCTGCCCGAGCCCAGCGGGACGGGCGAGCAGATTTTTAATGCAAACGGATCTTTTTGGAAACGGAGCTACGAGAGCTGAGAAAAATCACTAAATCCGACTTTAGGAGGAGACTGAAGAGCCGGAGAGCGCATCGCGGCTGGGTGCCTTTCCCCCGCCACCCGGCCCGGTCTGTGCGCTCGGGGAACGGGGAGCGGGGCTGACCCGCTCC